AAATTGAGAAGAGCTAGAAATATTGTGATGTTTTCTCTCCCCACAAGAATCTGTGTAAACAAAAGTATGATAGAGGCAAAATTTTGGATATATGAAGCTTTGGATTTTTATGAGCAAGTATATTAAAGTGGGGGAGGCTCAGAGAGTGTAGAAAATAAGGGTGATTAAAATGTAGGGTGTAGAAAATAGAGTGATTAAAATGCTTGACTATAGACTTTAGTAGAAAACATATGAGGGTGGTGAGGATTATGAAAAAGGTGACAGAACTAACAGATTTTATGTACTGCAATAGTTGAAGGTGGTTTTAAAGTTAAAGTCCTAGAGAGCATGTTAGAAAAACTGGAGGAGATAGAAAGTTTGATGTTTCAAATTGATATTGGAAAAGTGTTCCGGTGACTGACTACATGAAGTCTTTATTGGACCTCAGATGGGAGCAGGAGGCTGAGAACAACAGAGTGTTGATATTTAGAAGACAGAAGTGAAGGGATGAGGACACCAGGCCACTAAAAGAAAATCCATGTAGATGCTGAAATCACCAAATATTAAGACTGGGATAGCACTGGAGAGAATAACAGAGTCAACAGTTAAAATCCTCAAAATATGAAGGTGAGTGACAGGGAGTCAGTAGATAAACACCTCAAAGGTAGATAGTGGGTAGCAAAGTTAGATGATATGAGACTCTAAGATAAACATTGTGAGGAAGAAGTGGGTACAGTGATCTGGAATTGGCAGGGAGAAGCAAGGAAGAGAGTTTCTAAACTTTACACCCAGTGGTAAGAATGCTAAAGAGAGTTACATTTTGAGAAGAATAAATGGACAATCAGATTTCAGTTAAATGCAGTTACATTTTGAGAAGAATAAATGGAGAATCAGATTTCAGTTAAATACAAAAGGTAAATTTTCAGAAAAGAAGCTTAGTATGTGAGGAATGTTGCTAGTGACTGATCAGAGGGCATAGTGGAGGCATTTCAGGGTTTGAGGAGCGTAGAATATCACAAGAGGAGTAAATCTGCTGAGCTACATGGGAGTTATTCTCTGGGAAAGAGACAATAGGAGGGCTCTAAACTGTGGGAAACTGATACAGACCAAGAAGTTAATTTTGATAGTCTCCAGATACCTGGCTATAGAAGGCTTATGAGGGGTGAGTGGTTAAATGTTTTGTGTCAGAATTCTGGGACTCTCACTTATCTAAAAACCAACATCTTCCTGTAGGCACAAGACCACAGAGAGATGCTCACCTGTGTCAGTGCAAACACAGAGGCAGGAAACCAGGGGCAGTTGTCAACTGCTGTGAGTGTCTTTTCAATGCCTTAAATATTACCTATAGCAGGGCAAATTAAAGTTCTAGATTGCTACTTTTAAAAAGTCAAATCCACTTCTGAAGTGCATGCTTCTCAAGAGATCAGGACATTGGGATGATGGCTGAGTGACAATCATGATAGTACTCAAATGGGTCAGTGGCCTGTCAGAGCCAAAGGGCAACAAGAATGATTAAAATTAATACAGAGCTGAAGAATATACATGTGTTTCTATGTTTAGGATGAGCACTCTTGAAATACAAAAAGTTCAGTTAGAACTTCACAGATTAATTTTTTTTTTTTTTAGTTTAAAAGTTGGCTACATTCTATCACCAAGATCAGAAGCACAATGGCCTAATCAGTAACTGTGGGCACTTTGAAACATCCTCATATTTAAGAGGAAATTAAAAGTAAGTCTAGCATGCTATCAGTGTTGAAAATCGCAAACACATACACACATACTGAGTCACTGTAATAATTCTCTAGTCGTAGTTCGCTGAATCTCTGCAGATTCAATTTGGCATCAAATAACAGCCCATTCTTCTCTGCCAGGGTGGTCGTTCAGAGCTGATGAGGAGACTGATAGCCCTTCAGCTATAGAGAAAGGCCCTCAGGTGACATTTTGTCCTGGAAAAAGTCTGGAAAAGTAAGTTTATCAATTTTCTGAGCAACACTGAACAAAACTAGAGACTTTCACTATGAGGTCTTTTCTTCAGTTAGGTTAGGAGGGCTGAGTTTGCCTCTGGCTACATCTTTAACACTTACACCTACAGTTTCTCCACAAAAGCAAGTGAAAAATAAAACTGTCCAAATGAGAAAAAAATTTTTGAGTCATGACTTACCTAAAACCCAGATGTTCCAATCTTAATCTCCAAATTGGAGAATGTGTTTACATCTTCAGCTCCAGGTCTTATCTAAGAGTCCTCACTTGTGAAAGACTCCTTCTTATGAAAGAAGGGAGCCAGAGGCAGGAGCCAAATTCAGTGAGATTCTGTATATAGTATCTATAAAATGAATTAGGTTCTTAGAAGGACATAGTATCTTAGGACACAGATGAACAACTTTTTTAGTTTTGTTTTACTTTTTGAGACAGGGTCTCACTATGCGGTTCAAACTGGTCTTGAACACACTCTGTATCCCAGGCTGGCTTCAAACTCACAGAGATCCTCCTACCTCAGCCTCCTATGTGCTGGGACTCTAGATGTGTGCCACCAGCTTTTAGTTTTTTTGTTTTTATTTTTGTTTGTTTTTGAGAACAATCTTTAAAATAGCACGCTAAGGTTGTGATAAGAATTTAGTTTACCTTGATATCAACTCACCTAAAGTCAGTTCTTCAGATGCTAATTTACTTAATTAATTCATCTAAAACTAACATTGTCTAGAGCAGTGATCTTCAGTCTTAGCTGTACATTAGGTAAGTCTAACCTGGTAAATTTTTTAAAATGATGATGCCTATGACACAAAGATTCTGATATGTTCTTCCTGTGATAGAACCTGAGCACTGTCAAATAAAGTATAGAAACAAGTTATGATTGAATTTCAGATAAAAAGGAGTATTTCCTGATAAGAATGCCCAAAATATTATGTGGCACAAACTAAAAACTATTCACTATTTATCTGAAATTCAAATTTAACTGGATATACTATGTTTTCCTTTGTTAAATCTGTCAGATATACATGTATTTCAGGCTTATGCAGAGCTAACAACCACCACTTGAGTGTATGTAGATCATACAGATAAGACTGGATTTCTTTAACATTTTCTGAATTTTTTTTTTATCTTTTAAAAAAGTAAAAATTTCCCCATTTCCAGACAGTTCAAGAGTTAATTTCTGAGGGACTGTCAAATATATGTATAATTTTATATTTCTAAAAAAATTGTAGTATACTATGCTACACTTGATTCATACAATTTAACCCTTTTAAATAATTTCTGTTTTGCTCCATGGTTTTGCATTCTTTTCTGTTTTTTCCTATTAATGTTTATGCTCAGTTGAGGCACCACTGGGATTCGAAACCAGGATCTCCTGTTTATTAGACAGGTGCTTTAACCAACTAAGCCACAGCATTGCCCTCCTCTTAATGTTTAAACACATTAATATGTATAGAAGTTAGCCTTTTTCTATATGAATAGTAATATATAGTCACAAGTCACTCCATGATGGGAACATATTCTGAGAAATGTTGTTGTTACATGATTTTGTTGTACAAACTTCATAGAGTATACTTCATAAACCTAGATGGTATACCTACTGCACATTTTTGCTATGTAGTATAACCTATTGCTCCAGGGCTAAGTCCATATTACCTCTTGACTATTGTAGGGAAATAATGAAAAGAATTTATGTATCTAAACATAGAAAAGGTACAGGTAAAACATTAGGACCCAGGAATTTTCAGCTGTACCATAATCTTACAAGACTACCATTGTACATATGGTAGTTACTGAACAAAACATCCTTTTGAGTTGCATGATTATATTTGGGCTTTTGACTTTGTTCACAGTGTGTTTTGCAGTGCAACTTTAAATATTTGTGCATGCAAAATATATATTTTCTCTTTTGTTTTGTTAGGAAAAGAGGTCTCTAGCAGGCAGGAACAGCGCAAGGACTTGAGCCCAGGGAGAAAGAGGAAATGAAGAAAAGGGCAGTGGTTATGGTTGTTTCTTGAAAAAAAAAGTTAAATATTCCTAGGCCAGGTGGTTACAACAACCAGGCAGCCCCCAGCAGTTGGGCGACACAGATTCTACCCCTAGCAACAGCCTAGAGACCAACGACAAGCTGACCCCCCAAAACTGAGGGAGAGATCAAGGCAAGCCATACACACCCCAATAACAGCACCCACAGGTCCCACATTAGGCTTTCCAGCTCTGGAGCCCCTTCTTTTCAGAGAAGTCTGTATGGCTTCTTTGCAGTAAAACTAGCTTCTGCTTGGTAACTTCCTTAGGCTCCTTTCCTTTATTTCTCTACTGGACTGGTGGTCCGGATCTGAGCACATCATACTTTGGTGGCTGCAGCCCAGGTGTGACATCATTTTATAGAACCCTTCCCACTTTGAGAGTATATTTTTAATTTTGCCTGTTTTCTGGCAGTGGCTATAGTTCCAATATTTTGTTCTATTTAAATAAAGAAGCTTGACTTTTAGTAGGTGATACCATGCACCTAGTTGTAGGCATGTGATTGTGTGATTTATTTTTCTTGTCAGTGAGACATAAACAAATGTTAGAGGAGACTCTTGGGGACTCGTCTTAGGAAACTTCCCTCCTTTCTTTCAGCTGCTAAAAAGGTTGGAATAGGATTTGGCAGCCATATCGAACTATGGAAGACCTGGACCACTGACAAGTTCCATGCTAAGGCTAACAGCAAAGATGGTGCCCTTTCATCTGTAATAACACAGCCAACACAGCAAACCTGTGAGCCTAGATTCCCTATCACCAGGCTGCTGCTGCTTCTTCCTCTTCCTCTTCCTCTTCTTCTCCTCTTCCTCCTCCTCTTTCTCCTCCTCCTCTTTCTCCTCCTCCTTTTTTGAGAAGGGTGTAACTTTCATCATTAAGCCACTTTTACTTTGAATCTTTTAAAAATATACTTAACCAAAGCTAATCCTTATACCACAATTACTTTTAATAATTTTGTTGTCTTCCTCCACCCCTGTTCTCCCTCAATGTATGTATTTTACTTCATTTTAAATTCATTTTGATATATAATCTTTTTCAATTTTTGTGTTAAAATATATATAAAATGTACCAATCCTTACCAATTTAAAATGTATCCATTTAAAATGTATTCATAACATTATACAATAATCACCACCATCCATCTCCCTAACTCTTTTCATTTGGTAAAACTGAAACACCGTACTCATTAAATAATGACTCCTCCTTCTCCCTCCCCGCAGACCCTGGCAAACACCACTCTAATTCCTGTCTATGACTTCGTATACTCTAACTATACTACACAGGCAGACTCATATGATATTTGATTTTTTTGTTACTAGCTTATCCCATTTATCATAATGTTCCCAATGTTCATCTATGTCATAGTATTTATTATCAGAAGCACCTTCCTTTTAAAAGTCTGATTAATATTCCATATGTATGTTACATGCATGTAAGAGCATATCTTATTTATTCATTGATGGATATTTGGTCTGGTTCCATGTTTTAGCTACTGTGAATAATACTGCTGTGGACATGGGTATATTGATATCTCTTTGGGTATACATCTAAAAATGACATTACTGAGTCTCATGGTAATTCTGCTTTTAAGGAAAAGCCATATTGTTCTCCAGTGGCCAGTATCTGAGCAATGGACATGTGAGACAAAGGGTGAATGGAGACCAAAATGTCATTTTTATCATAGACAAATCTGATTTTACAAAATGTGCTTATATCTTTAAACAAATATGGTTGTTACACTGGTGTCTAGAATTGAACCCAAGCCAAACATCCCCATTATATCAGCAGGAGTCAGGTAGAATAAGATTACAGGTGAGTTTGATCCAAGAGAAACAAAGGGAGGAAAGAATGTTTATGCATGCCCAATCTACCCTTTCAAACTATCCTGTCTGGAAAGTCTTTTTCTCTAAAGAATAAGGAATCAAGTGTAGAGAGACTAAAAACATGAAGTCATTAACCTCCCCCAGACTAGAAAAAAAAGAGAAATGTAAATGTCCATCTGTATAATAGATTAGAAATTAGGATTTAAAAATACTTAATAATTTTTTGTAGTACTTGGAATTCAATCCGGAACCCTATGCATTCTAGCCAGACAAGTGCTCTACCATCGAGCTACGGCCCCCAGCACTACTTAGTAATTTAACAGGTAACACTGGGTGTGTTATTACTTCAATTTTTTTTACCTTTTGGTACAGCTGAGGTTGAACAGTCTAACATTTTCCACATTTTAATATTCCCTAGTAAATCATCATATGTTTTGGAGCCTGAGCATTTTTCTCACCAATTTGTATGATTTCTTTATGAGATAAAAAGTTATCCTTCATTATATGTTCTGTTAAACTTTGGCAATTCATTTCCATTAGTTTTACTTTGAGAATATGAAATAAATTCATGTAATTATATCTATTATATTCCCTGTTCTTTAATTTACTGCCTTCAAGTTTAGAAAGTTCTCCCAATAAGGGTTTAATAGGTATGCACTTTTGTTTTACTCTGATTTTTCTATGGTTTAATGTATATTATCTCCTTCTATAACCAAATAGTATTTATGGTTTCTTTAGTATGAAACAGATAAAACCATTCATGTGCCTTCAATCTACCTGCATTACTGTTTCCTCCTCTTAGCTCTCTATTTTCTCACTTGCTTTTCACAGGTGGGCAAAGAGAGAGAGAAAGGAAAAAGAATTATAACATTAAATGATTTGGGGGTTCCTAATAAGAGTAGAATAGTTGTCTGAAAGTGACCAGCTCTTCTTTGGACACTTTCCTTTTCCAATTCTATCCTAAAATGTGCATGTTTTCTTAAAATAAAAAGTAACTTTAAGAGTATCCTATATAAATCCTCAAAATTTAAGCCAGCAAAATGTCGACTTCACTTACTTTTTCTTTTTTTCTTTTTGTAGTCCGGTGATTAAACCTAGGGCCTTGAGCAAGTGCTCAACCACTGAGCTCTATAACCCCAGCCCCCTTTTCTCTCTCTCTTTCTTTTTTTAATTTCATCTCAACACAGGATTACCCAGACTGGCCTCAAAGTTGCTATCCTCTTGCCTCAGCCTCTAGAATAGCAGGGATTAGAGATGTGTACCACTGCTCCCAGCTTGAACTTGCATTTAAGATCTGTAAACATATTCAGAAAAAGTAAACTTACACGGCCCATATAAAATACACTGAATTGGAAAAGTTAAATTTTAATCTAATTAAATATGAGGTAGACTGAATTTAATGTAAACTCATTTTTTTTTGCAGCTTGTTGAGTTTCTGGTTGTTGTTTTATTCTCAGTGGTTACTGGAAGTTTCAGCTATAGCCCAATTTGCACTGTATATACAAGATGAAAGAGGATTCAATAAGGAAAATGGGAGTGCTTGGAAGAGAAGGAATAGAAAGAAGCAGAAAATAATTCTCAGTCACACAAAATGAGTTCAGATGTCATACTGTCAAGTTTTTAAAAATAGCTCCTATTTATTGTATTTCTTCCATGCCCTACAACCTCTAGTCTTTACAGCTATTTATTCTTTTAAATTATTTTTTCTGATATATAGTTAGACAGTAGTGTTAAAGTTTCCTGTGTTGGTATTGTTAGTACTTTTTCAATAAATCTAATACCTACAAGGAGCAAGCTCCAGCTCTGCTACTTGGTGAATTATCCATATTTCCATTCATGTACCCAAAGAACCAGGAACAATTCAGGTGGGTTTTCTAGGTTTTCCTTCTCAGTAAAGTGGAAAACAAAATTTTGTATCCTCTGGTTTGGTCCTTGTGAAGGCTGAAGAATGGAGCTCTATAGCCAAGGTAATTGGCCTCCTGTGCTTGATGGTTTCTAAATTCCAGATCCAGTGAGAGACCCGTGGGACACAGGCCTAATGCACTATGTTCCTCCTGCTGAAATGCCAAGTCTGCATTTATTATGGTAATTATCCATTGCACAAATATATAAACTGAATCTTGAATCTGAGATCACACTGTATTTTATCTAACATATCTACTGGGCCAAACAACACCACCAATTTTTCCCTTTGTTTCAAAGCCAAATTGGCTGCACACCTACTTAAAGGTATCTTGTGTTCTGGTAAATAGTTGATAACATAAGTTAGACTCATCAATTATACTCTTCTGAAGAAAGAGATGGGGGAAATGTGCACCTCCCAGAAGATTAGATAAAGGCAAATTAAATGACAATCACTTGCTTATCATGTTTTCAAAAATGAAAAAGACTGATAGCATATAATATTGTGCAAGGTGTAGAAATTCTCATAAACTGCTAGGAAGGAGAACACTACGTTTCTAGGGCCTATTTTGAAATGCGTATAAAAAGTTTAATGTGCATATTCCTTTAATCCATTTTATTCTTTTTGGAACTTATCCTGGGGGAGTAATTGAACTAATGTGCCAAATGTGGTCAAACTAAAAAATGTGTAGCACTGTTTCTGATAGTAAATAATTAGTTTTGCTTTTTTTAGGACAGGGTCTTGCTATATAGTCCAAGCTGGCCTAAAGCTTCCTAAGTAGCTCATGCTGCCTCAAACTTTGCAATCATCCTACTTCAAATTTCTGAGTGGTAGGATTACAAATGTGTGCTACCATGCTTGGTGATAGTAAAACTTTTAAAAGATATTTAATATCTTCTAATGGGACTGATTAAATAAATTATAACCATATCATGAAGTACCATGTAAATAACTCAAAGATTTATAATATAGGTTGGGAAAGAGCAAGTTCAGAAAGTAGGATTTGTGCTATCTCTGGAGAGATTATACATACTTATTTAAAAATGCATCTTCTCCTTTTTACTGTTTCCTTCTCTGCAAAGGGAACTCAGTCACTTCTCAGGCTTTTCTATTTTTTTCTTTTTTTTTTTTTCCCCAGTACTGGGACTCGAACTCACGACTTTGCATTTGCCAGGCAGGTGCTGTGCCACTGAGCTAAATCCCCAGCCCCCTCAGGCTTTTCTTTTTTTTTTTTCTTTGTTTTTTGTTTTTTGTTTTTTCTCCGGTACCGGGAACCAAACTCACGACCTTGCGCTTGCCAGGCAGGCGCTTTTGCAGCTGAGCTAAATCCCCAGTCCCCCCTCAGGCTTTTCTATATCCCTTTGTTCACTGCCTCAGGAGAATAGAGTGACCTGCTTGACTGGCAATTTGGGAAAGAATAAACAATTAGTATTTTCCTTATCTCTGCCTCTTTTTGTCCATGAAACTAAGCTGCCTGCTCTGAATAGTAATTCTTTTCTTCTCCTCTATGCCATTCTTTTTGCCTGATATTGTGATGAAAGATCTGGCTAATTCTGGAGTTCATTGAACAACCACATTAGGCACTCAAACTAACCTATGTCCTCTAACTCAACTTTATCACTGATGAAATTACTACTTTTGCCTTTCTATGCCAATCTTTTATCTTAATTTACCAATTAATTGGTACCTTAGGCAAGGGAGATGGCTGCTATTTATTGGGGAATTTCAACCACCAGTTATGTGTGCATCAAAAAAGGAATAGAAGAATTGATTCCAAACTCTTAATGTATGTCTAATGTAGATACTTTCTTGCTATTTTCTAAATTCTATACTTCTGTATATTTTTAAAATGCCATTTTCTATTTAGAATCATTAAAAAGAACTAAATATTGATATTTTATTCTGAATAAAATGTGAAAAAAATATATATATATAAAACTAACGTGGCCTTTCTAAATTATACTAGTGGCTCCCAAAGATAAAATGATATTGTCATTCACTCCTGGTAGCCTCTGGCCTTATACTACATGGTAAAGGAGGATGGCTTTGTTTGTCATTTTGTAGCTATATGACATGGAAGGACTAAATTTTCTCATTATTAAATAAATTTCTTTAGGCCCTAACTTCCCCAAATCCTATATGCTGATGTTTACTACACACCTGGGGAATAACAGCTTTCAGCAAGTTGTTGAGGTCATTATTAAGTATTAGATCTCTCTTTTTAGAGTTCCATAGCCCCCTAGCCCAGGGGCTAGTGGGACCATAGGTGCCCACCTGACTCAAGGTCATCCAATCACCTTTTCTTTCCATGAAGAATTTAGAATTAGGAATTAGAAACAAAAATTAGGTTTTCATGGATCTCTAGAAGCAAGGGAATGTACATTTAGAAGGTGTAGAAAAGAGGAAAGCTGGTCTGTAGAGATAGAAAAGAATGAAACTAATTAAGAAAGACAACTATAGAAGATAAACTTTTAAAACAATTCTGGCTTTTGAATTACTAGTCTTGTTCCCTTCTGGAAGCCTAGCTTCATTCTCATTTTTTTAGTTTGAATTAAACAAACTCATGTCGTTATAATAAATCATTTTTTTTTTTTTTTAGCATAAGCTAAATGGATTTGATTTCTTTAACTTGCAACCAAAAAATCTATTCTACAATGTACCTGTCTGCCAGTGGGAATGATTTTTATCCCTATATTCTTTTGGCCCTATCATTCCTACTTCATGCAAAGAATGTACCTGAATGATCCTAACTTTACCCAATTTCAGCTCACTTTGTACAAGACCTCCCCACCCTATACTCATCCCCAGGTGAGATCTAGCACTGCCATCCTAGCTTGGTTATTACTCCCAAACAAGTGTACCACACACCAGTGCTCGAGAATTGCCTTACCAGACATCTGATCTGAGCTTTCAGCTTGTTGTGCCACAGAGCAAGTTGTGAAAGAAAGGATGAAGGTCCCAGCCTTGAGGGTCATTGGAAAATTGGCCCTAGACTTACAACAAAAAGGAAGGTGATCTGCAAAGCTACTACAGCTGAGGAGAAAAATGTGCTTTTTTCCTGGAAAATGAATGCTGTTAGCTATAAAGGATGGAATAAACCTAAAGACTCTGGAATGGAATTCATTTTTGAAAGACTAGGTTGGGTGCTAAATAGTATAAATTATTTAGGGAGAAAGATCTTCCAAAGTTTATGACCCAGATGATTTTGCAATGAAGACTTTAAAAAACATGAATGGTTGCCTTGATCCATGACTTTCAGGCATTATTTGATAAGCAATTTATTTTTCTTAAAATGAAATCAGTTCCACAGGTATTAAGTTCATATGTTTAAAATGTAATAATCTAGGAGAAAATTAGAATGCTTTCTACTCAGTGTTTAATCAGATATTAAAATATCATGGGTCTGGGCAAGTATTTGAATTTTATTTGAGGCTCCTTTCATACATGCATCTCAATCTGTGATTGAATAGAGAAGTCTTTCTGTGAAATGGAGCACCCAGGAAATTATTCTGTATAAGTAAATGAAGACAAATTTTTAAAAAAATCCCTCTTTTTGTGAATGTCGGTCTGTTT